ATGACCCCAGTTCTACCTCACAAATCCTGCTAGAGCTGCTCTCCTTCCCACTTAAGAATGCAGCCCAGGTGGCTGGACTAAGTAAATGAGGTGAGGAGTTAGAGATGAGGCTGCGGCAGTGGGTGGGGTCAGTCAGCTCATGTAGGCCTTGTGATAGGAAGCCACTGGGAGGGTAAGCAGGAGACTAACATGGTTAGGACTTGAAGTTGGTCAAACAGAAAAGGACAAATGTAAGACCACTGTCATTAAAAACAAACAAGCTAGGAGGGAACACTAGAACTGATTGTGATGATGCATACACAACTCATTTTAAAAGTGATGTACTGATTGAAGTGTATGATATGAATACTAGACCAAGAAAACTCAAAGGAAAAAAACACAAATGACCAGCGGTTACCACGGGTGAAGGAAAAAGTGGTGTTTAGGAGGCATTGAGTTTATGTTAATGGGGGTGGAATAATTTGGAAAAGGATATCAATAATGGCTGTATGACACGAAGAACATAATAAATGGCACTGAATTCTACATGTAGACATTGTGGAATTAGAGAATATTTTGCTACAATTAGGGAAAAATAATTACATAAATTAGAAGGAGAAAGAAATATTCTAGATTGAATGTGATAATTGGCACAACTTTTCTTGATACAATTGAATTATTGAATTGTATGATGTGGATGAAGTGCTAATAAAACTTAAAAACAAAACCTTTTCACCCCAAAAGAAACAGACTGGCCTCTAGTAGCAAATCTTTTTTTTAAAAATCATTTTACTGGGTGCTTGTGTAATTCTTATCACAATCCATACATCCATCCATTGTGTCAAGCACATTTGTTCATGTTTCCATCATCATTCTCAAAACATCTGCTTTCTACCTGAGCCCTTGGTATCAGCTCCTCATTTTTTCTCCTCCCTCTTCACCCCACCCCTTGAACCCTTGATAATTACAAATTATTGTTTTCTCATGTCTTACACTGCCCGACGTCTCCCTTCACCCACCTTTCTGTTGTCCGCCCTCCAGGGAGGGGGATTATATGTAGATCCTTAAAATT